GAGTTTTGGTTTTTGTGTTTGGTATTTAAGTTTTTTGTGTGTTTTGCTTTCTTGTTTTTAGTAAATTTGTGTTTCCTAGATGGATTTTCTTAAAGTGAGTAAGCTTTACCCAGCATTATTGGCAGACTGAGACTTGGACCATAATTACTTGGCATTACCCTTTAATAGACATGGTGAACGTACATCACTCATGCCCCCAACCTCAGTCTCCCACTTTGGGAAAGACATCATGAATCAATGACAACACTTCTTTTCTACCTGAGTTTTTTTTTTTTTTTTTTTTTTTTTTTAATTTTTTTTTCAACGTTTATTTATTTTTGGGACAGAGAGAGACAGAGCATGAACGGGGGAGGGGCAGAGAGAGAGGGGGAGACACAGAATCTGAAACAGGCTCCAGGCTCTGAGCCATCAGCCCAGAGCCCGACGCGGGGCTCGAACTCACGGACCGCGAGATCGTGACCTGGCTGAAGTCGGACGCTTAACCGACTGCGCCACCCAGGCGCCCCTCTACCTGAGTTTTAAAACAAGTTCAAAATCCTCTCAATACATCACCCCTAGAAGATAAGAACAGTAGATCAAAGATAATATATGAGCTGAAGTCTGGTTGGCATCCCTGATCTAGGAGATAGTGCCTACTAAACTCTCATTATCTGTATCCTTTATCCTCTAATACCTTCCATTACTTTCAGTTCTTCTCTTCCATGTCTATATTTTTATCTGCCTAAGTCTTGGGTCCACCAGTGATTGCCACTGACCCCATCATATCTAAAGTCCACTGCTAACACTGGTATTAAGATGTTGCTTATTGAATTTCTATATTACAACAAGCTGCCTAGAAAATCATAACTGCCCTTATAGAGTTTACAGTCTACTAGATTACATAAACATTAATGAATTGTCACATTTAAAATCTTAAATTATAGTTGAATTAAGTATTAGGAAGAACAAATCTGTAACAGAAGTCCTAACTAAATCTAGTGAGTCAGAAAGGGCTTCCCTAAGATAGTGATGTTTGTGCTGAGATGCAAAAGATGTATAGGACTTAAACAGCAGTAGGAGTTAGTGAGAAGTAAAAATATTCCTGCTGAGATACCAGTATGAATGCAGATTTAAGGAGGAACTCAGTGTATTTAGAAAACTCACAAGGCCAGTGGTAGAAATGTGGGCTGAGGATGGGGGAGATATGGTTAGACAGGCAGGCAAGGGCTAAATCATTTAAGACCATTGGGAGTACATTAAGTATTTGTGACTTTGTGCTGCCTGGGTGGCTCAGTCTCTTAAGCATCTGACTGTGGCTCAGGTCATGATCTCGCAGTTCATGGGTTCGAGCCCCGCATCATGCTCTGTGCTGACAGTGTGGAGCCTGCTTCGAGTTTTTTGTCTCCCTCCCCTGCCCTTTCAAAAATAAATAAATATTAAAAAAAAATGATTTGTGACTTCATCATTACAAGTTGAAAGCAATGAAAAGGTTAACCAGGGGAACAACATGAGTAAGTTTGTGTTTTTAAATATTATTATTTAAAGATTATAAAGATTTTAAAGATTACTACTATCAAAACACTATTTAGTAGACTGATTATGTTGGCTAAGAATGCAGGCAGGAACTCCAAATGGGAGACTATTAGAGTAGTCCAAATAAGAAATTATATTAACAGATTATAGAAAGATATGGAGGAAGATGAAAGATATTTACGAGAGAAAATCAACAGGTCATTACATGTGACATATGATAGGTGAAGAAAAGGAAGATTATGGATGATACCTCAGTTTTCACTTATGGAATCAGGAGAATATGATGTCATTCACTAAGTTAAGAAACATTGCACAGGGATTAGGCTTGAGTGGAAGATGATTTCAGTTCAGGCATATTTAGTTGACTATATATTTGAGGTGTTCAAGTGGTAATAAGCATGCAGTTGGAATGCTTATATATGAAACTCTAGGAACTCTGACAAAGAGATAACTTTATTAGTCATTGACATATAGGGGTAATTTAAATTCTATGTGTGCAAATGATTTTCTACAAACAGCAAGTAGAAATTGGAAACAGAAATGGTCCCAAAATTCAGACTTGAGATCCCTGATATTGACAGGTCAGGTAAATGGAAAGAGGCCTATAGAAGAAGTGAAGTGTTTAAGGAATAGAAAGAGAACTCAAAAGGAAACCAGAAATATATAGTGTCATGGTGGTCCAGAAAAGACAGTGTTTCAGAAAAGAAAGTAAATTAAGACCATCAAATGCTACACTTGGTCTTAGGGCCAAAAGGCCGAGAAGCAGTAAGAACATCAAATGCTACTGAGGTAAATTAAAGTGAAGGTTTAGATTTAAACATGGAACTCACTGGGAGATCTTAAATGGGAGCTAACTGGGGTTGGAAACTAGAATAGCTGAAGGTTGTGTGATATGTGAGGAACTGGCCATGGGGAGCACCAAGAACAGAATTGTAGGAGGGAAGGAAGTTCAGGGAGTCTTGGTTTGTTTTTTCAGATGGGAAAGACTTGAACATATTCATACTCATGAGAAAGAGCCTATACAGTAGGAACATCTGAAAGTAAAGCTGAAATGTTTTTTCATTTTTGAGAGAGAGACAGAGCACGAGCAGGGGAGAGGCAGAGAGAGAAGGAGACACAGAAACTGAATCAGCCTCCAGGCTTTGAGCTATCAGCACAGAGCCTGATGCGGGGCTCGAACTCACGAACCATGAGATCATGACCTGAACTGAAGTCAGACACTTAGTGACTGAACCATCCAGGCACCCCTTGGAAGTACAGTTGAAAGGAGAGGTATTGGATAGCTTAAGGTTCCTGAAAAGGAAAAGGCCTATGTGGAAGAGCACAAGCGAAATTATAGAGAAACTGAAGCCTCTTCAAATTGGCAGAGATGGGGAGAGTGTTGGTGTGACCCTGCCTTCCCCTGTCAACAGGTATAAAGAGTTCTCCTCCTTAAAGCAATATAGCTTAGGTGCAAAGGCTATATAAAGGTTTACTTTATACAGATAGCTTTTATAAACCAGTACTTTCCTTTGGAGTTAAAAAGATATGCACCTTTGAAACTTGATTAGAGATAGAGATATTATGGAGGCAACTTAAACTGATTTCCTTGGGATGGAGAGAAAGAAAGATTATAAAACAAATTAATATTCACCTGAGCATAGACATGGCATAGTATCACCCCACTGATTTTAGGAAAGCTGGGAGTCACATCATTACCTTTTAGCTACCATGCCAACACAGGACTGGCCTTAATGAGCACCACTCCATTGATGTGGATTTCACCAGCCCCTCATATCCTTTTTCCTATCTCATCTCAAAATAACTGACCACAGTATGTTTCAATTAGAAAAACCTTCAGTGATCTCACTACCAACTCATTTTCTGTAATAAAAATAGCCAGAAATTTAAGGACAAGAATAATAGGTTTTCACATAGTAATTCCAACACAGCCTCTGAAAAGAAAGTTCTCAAATATTTTGAATGCTAAGGACTTTTCTGCTGTTTTCATGCAAAGGAATAAAGGTGAGAGTTTCTACCTCCAAGAACCTGGCAACAGAAACTTCTCCCTTTTCCTTCTTCTGGAGTAGGTCTTCCTTCAATGTCTATTTAACACAAGAAAATGACATATTTAAACTACTTTACTACATTGTGGGGTATTCTCAGTAAGTAAATTAGGTATCTAACAGATAAGCAGTATCTCATTATTACATTCAGTCTGATGAAGTTAATGCATTACATTAGGCTCTTAACTTGTCTTTGCTTTGGGCTTCAGTCTCTGGTCAGTTAAAACTCCTACCGATCCACTTACACATTTGTTCTTGATGGCTCAATCTTTGCTTCCTTCCCAGCTTGAGAGTGGTTGTTCAGTTACATAGATCCTGACTTCTTAGTTCTATCCACTTGATTTCCAAGTAATTATAGATCTTTCTGCTTAGGTTGTTTACAAGTTACTTTCACCTTCATACTGAACTGTGGCTCTATGCATTCCCTAAGGAGTTATATACTCTCCATCCTCTCTATATATATTGCCTCTAATTTGAAAACTCAAATGCCTACAGAGACCCAGCAGGTATCATGGACAAGAGAACTGATTGAGGGGTAAGGCAAAAGAAGCCCAAGAGAGAGCAGAGAGAAAATGTCTCCTGTCTCTCTCATTTCTTGCAGGGCAAGCCTGAAAGCAAACTGCTTTGGCCATCTGGATTAGAATGACACCTATTTAAAGGAACTGTCTGAGAATGCTATCTGCCCAGAACTTTTAGAGTAACTTAGAGTCTCCAATGCAATGCAAAAACCCAGCTACTGGACCCAGCTACCTCATTTTCAGTAAACCTAGATTAAGCACTTGGGGTTATTTTCAGACAATCCTGTTCCTTGTATTATACCAGGGAAGTTCCACCTTCTTTCACTATAATTGGCCCCTTGAAAAGCAAATGTACATGTCATATACAAATGTACAGACCCTAGGCACTTTACACATCCAAATCTCGTAATGAGAGCTATGAAGTGCCAAGATAATTAAAATACACGTGCAATCTCCAAATTTCACCTATGAATTGTAGACTTTTCTTCTTGATAAACCTGCTAAAAATCCTATAGGCAAGTTATCAGATCTGAGTTTTAGGTTTTGACCTCCCTAAGTCTGCCTTGGGAATGGCAATGTGTGGTGGGCTGCTTCAAAGGCAGAAAGAGCCTTAATGGTACCCTAGTGACAGGTGGACATACCAGGTAGAAGTAGTACCTAGTATGCTTCCCCAGGAAAATATTCAGGACCTTAAAAAGGCAGTGGGGGACATTCTTCTAACAGAAATGTATGGTTCTAACCTTTTTTTGTTTCTGAGAGGCAACATGGTTCTTAAACTCAAAAAATCCAAAGATCATTTCTGGAATGTTTTCTATTGAAGTGGGCTCTGGATAAGATCCTTATGTGACTAAAACATTCTCCCATCCTGAGGCTCCTTTGTGGAACTCTTGAGCTCTGGACCAATTTATCAAAAGATGTGTTCTTCAGCTTTGCGCAGTGGCAGTATCGTAGCCAATGAGGTTTATACGAGGCGCGATTATTGCTAAAAGATGTGTTCTTCAGCTTCACAAACATCCTGCTCTGTCCTGAAAACCTCAGGGCAGGGGGTGGATTATGGTACTGGGCCATTTTCCAGGAGAAATAACTTCACACAAGATGGGAAGAGCCCAGTGTTGATGTTCTTCATATTATTGTGCATCAGAGTCATGTGAAAGGGTAAGTGATGGTAAATGTGCATTGGAGGTTGGCTGATTTTTCTTAGATTCATTTAATCAGTCAGAGATCCAAGAGAAAATGAATAGGATAACTTAGGATAACTTGATGAGAGTTTAATAAAAGACTTTTTTTACAAAATATGGTCAGTATATAGGGAAACCAGAAGGGATAGTGCAGGACCCTGAGGCTAAGAAGGGCAAGGAGAATTTACCAGCTTGAGCCTGAAGGCAGGCGAAGAAAGGGAACACTTGTTGGAATTAGAAGGACAGAGCTAAGAAATGAGAGCCAGCTATCAGAAGCTGAGACTTTAGAAGGAGAGACCTACCAAATCCCATAGAAAAGAGCTAGGGAAATAAATATCCTGACTTCACTTTCTCCCATGTCTCTCCTCCTTCCTTCTGGCCTCTTGCTCGTGCTACCAACGGGTAAAATCCAGTGTTCAATCTGAGTCCAGAAGACAAGGGCAGAGTATATCAGAGAATGGTGAAGAATGAATATGGAGAAGCAAGGAAAGATACCCAACAAACTCACCTACCTAGCAGGGGGAAAAGAAGTGAAGGATCAGTGAGGACCTACTACATATGAAGGGTCAATGAGGACCAATACAACAAGGCTGGAATTATAATGCCCAAAAATGCTTCAGAGCATTGGCAATAAAATCAAAACTGCCAGAGCACATGGAACTACACATGACCTGCTTAGCCTTCTTCATACGAAAGGCTCCGGAAAACTGAGGTCTCCATTCCTTTTGCCTTTGCCAAATGACCCTTCAGTTGAGCACTTTGGTATTATCTGAACCGTACAAATCAGCACATATTAGTGACAGGTGTTTGATGGTACTTGGCTGTAAGAGGAATATCCAGAGGGAGTTGATTTCTTCACATTGATGACAGAAAAGAAAATCAGGTACACAGTGTGTGACTTTGTGACTATGGACAGTGACATATATTCTAATTTCTCTGTTTTGACATCATTCTTTTTCACCTATTATGCCACTGCTTACAAGTAATAATCAGTTGCACAACTTTATTCTTACATGAATGTTCAGTTTTCTAATTTTGAGGATCCTGGTTATTTTCAAGACATTTTCTCTTTCTTTTATTCTTTCTCTCCTCTACCTCTGGTGTTAAAAAGAAATGTTTCCTGAATTTCTGTCTTCAGAGAAAAATAGTGAGGGATGAGGCTGCCTAACCTTGGAAACTCTCAGAGCTTTCCTTTTCCATCTCATGACACCTCTCTTGTCTAACCTCTCAGAGGTCGCAGAAAATAAAATGACATAACAGATGAAGAACAACTTTTTTTCCCCTAACATTTTGTTTTATTCTTATGCCTCTTTACAGGTTTCTGTATTTTCTCACTATTTCTTTCAGGGAAATGGCTGGCTCCTATTTTATTTTTATTTGTAGGTGAAGAACTTATTTTAAGATCTTATCTATTTGTATTGTGGTTAAAGAAAAGACCTACAAATGTGAGCACATGTATGTGCTCACACATGTACATACAAACACACATTCACAGAGAAAAAATATGCAACCATTACTATTCTTTCTGACTGTTCGTGTATGAACATTACTGGAAATGAAGCCAATGAATTCATATCTCGAAGCAATGGTGAGAAATAATGGCCCCTGACACCTTTAGGAGGAAAAAAATAATATAATTTGACAATAAATTCTCCTTAGGAAAGTAATGTTTTCTTTGAATTATTTTATTAACTTTCTCTTCATGAAGGATCTAAGAGTACTTTGCTAAATACTGCTTTCCTTTGCACTACATAAAGTATAACCCTTTTAGAGAATTTTAAAGTTAATTTTCCACAATGCCCAAATTTAAAATATAAGTTACTTTGAATTGTAGAATTTCACTGTACATGTTATCTGTATAGTAATGGAAGAGAGTAATATACATTGAGTTCAATTTAATGATTACCAACTACAGTATTGTTACATAGTTTACCTACACAAGTTAACTTTCATTAAAGACTGATATTTATAGGGGCGCCTGGGTGGCTCAGTCGGTTGCATGTCCAACTTCAGCTCGGGTCATGGTCCCACAGTTCGTGAGTTCGAGACCCGCGTCAGACTCTGTGCTAACAAACAGCTCAGAGCCTGGAGCCTGCTTCAGATTCTGTATCTCTCTCTCTCTCCCCCTCCCCTGCTCATGCTCTGCCTCTCTCTGTCTCTCAAAAATAAATAAATGTTAAAAAAAAATTTAAAGGCTGATATTTATATTTTTATGCCGAATATATATACCTGAATCTTGAATACAGTGGCAAAGTACATCTTCCAAGGTCAGAAATTTCTCTACATAATAATATTTAGAGAGGCTCTTTAACTGGAACTCTTGTAGTCTACATCATCATTGAATACATATGCTGAAAAGAGAACTATATTTGGTGTTCTCTACATTCAACACAAGTATAATTTTTATATAAAGTGATATTTTGATGTCAAATTCCAATTCCTCCTCACCAGGGATTGGTGGAGCCCCTTGAGCAGTATACCTAAGGGCACGGTCACTTTTCTGAACAAATAAGGATTCCTTTTCATGTAGGCACTATTGACCTCCTCCTCATCTCTGTTAAGTCTGTCCTAGGATATGATCTTTTTATATCATGTATCATTGCCATTTAGAATAAATTTTTAATCTTTGTTTATACACTTTCTTAAAGCTCACTTTCAGTATAGAAACTTTGTAACTTTCTTCCATTACATCCAAAATGTGTGCTTATGACCCATTACACTGACATTTTTTTTGTGTGATGAACAAATGCTGTTTTTCTCTTCTCTGCCCTGAATACTTTGTGTGCTAACCTATTTGAAAATTCCATGTTCTACTCGAAATTTCAAATATTCTATTGTAGGATCTAATTAAAAATTAGTCTCCACCTCACTTTCATCTTTACCAAATTGGTCAAAATCGTGAATGTCTTCTATTTGACACACAAACTCTTCTATAGTATGTCAGGGAAGTATTAGCATGTAAATTTTCTATATTTAACATTAATATACATCAAACTGACAAATATGTGGAATAACAGCCTTCATTCCCTCTTTTGTATCCAAGGCCCAATGATCACAATATTTTTTCTGTTAGACCCAAATATCAACTCATCAGAGTTGTAAGATGAGACTTACAATCCAGGTGTAATGGAAACACAGTCTGCCTTGAGAATATGACATTTGTGACAAGTATAACAAAAAAATATTCCATGTTACTATAAATAGCATCTTGAGGGAAACAATTTGAAATAAAAATACGGGAAAGAGGGGCGCCTGGGTGGCGCAGTCGGTTAAAAATATGGGAAAGAATAATAGGAAGAAAAAGATTCACTTCTATTACCCCAATGGATCTGCTACAGAAGAGGACCACTTACTTCAGGCTAAAAATGCTATGTTAATTCAGTGTAATGAACCACCAATTTGGTCTAAAATTGCTTTGATTTAATGTGACTAAAGAAATATCATAGCTCATCACTCATTATGTCCAGCACTTAACATAGTACCTCATAGTGTGTTTGTCAGTCATTTTTATCACTTCTGAGGTAATTGGTCTTCCTGCTTCCCTGATGACCACATGTTGTCAACTATAAACCTTTCCTCCAGTCCACTTCTTTTTTTTTAAGTTTATTTATTTATTTTTAAGAGAGAGAGAGAGAGAGGCAGAGGGAGAGAATCTCAAACAGACCCTACGCCATCAGTAAAGAGCCCAACGCAGTGCGCGAACCCACAAACTGTGAGATAATGACCTGAACCAAAATCAAGAGTCTGATGCTTAACCAACTGAGCCACGCAGGCACCTCTCTTCCATTTAATTAAACTTCTAATTAAACTATGACTTCTCCCAGAATTTAGAAACTCAAAGATCTAGGAGTCAGGAACTGGCCCAGAGATCTGTTGTGTCACAAACAAAAGGAAAGCATATTTTTCATTTAAAAATTATTGATTTCTTCATTAAATTGAGAAACTATGAAGGTTTTGTCACCATGTCAGCCACTTAAATGAAGTAGCTTATAACAAAGTGATATTACCAAAAACATCTAGAAGAGAAAGATAAAACACAAAAATTATGTGAATAGAAAGGAATTTCAAAAATATTAACTAATATCCTGAGATCTACTTTACTACTTAATCCTAAAAGTAAAACTCCAAATGATCAAACAGTTAATTGCATCCCAGAAAAGTAATTTTAATAATAGTGGTAGGAATAGAAAAGAATCTAGCATCCATCATGGTAAATTTCAAATTGGCATTTAAAGAAATGAAAATTATAAACCTACAAGTAGCTCAACTACACAAATACTTGAAAAGTAAAATAATAAAAAAATATGATCATTAATCAAAAGAAAACAAGGGTGGCTATATTAATGTCAGGCAAAGTAAAGTATAGATCAAGGAATATTACCAGGAATAGAAGAGGAGGTCATTTCATAATGATAAAGGAGTTGGTTCAACAAAATATAACAACTGTAAATATTTATGCACCTCATAAAAATGCATAAAAATAAAGCAAAAACTAATAAACCATAAGGAAAAATAGATCCACAATTACAGTTATGGCTATCAACCTTTTCCTAATAATTAATAGAATGAGGTGACTAAAATCAGTACCATATAAAAGACTCAGCTTGACTTAATTGACATAGAATATTCTACCCAATAACAGCTTAAAACACATTGAAAGTGTGCATGAAATATATACCAAATAGGCCATGTTCTAGGCCATAAAACATGTTCCAAAAATTTTTAAGTATTCATCTATGTTCTATAACTACAATGAAATTAAACTAGAACTCAGTACCAGAAAGAACACTGAAAAATACCCAACTATTTGGGAATTAAATAATACACCTTCAAATGTCTCATGGGTCAATGGGAAATCAAAATTTGGAAGTATTTCTGAACTAAATGAAAATGCA